TGATGCCCACAATACTGAGTATCTCCCTTGCCCTTTAGGTCAGGCTGCCAGATGGGACCTCACTGACCCAGACGTTCCGGGCCCGGGAACAGCTGGCAGCCGTGAGGCTCTATGTGGAGCTCCACCGTGGGGAGGAACCAGGAGGAGGCCAGGACCCTGTGCAGTTGCTCAGTGGCTTCCCCAGACGGGCCTTCTCAGAAGCTGACATGGAGCGGCCTCTGCAGGAGCTGGGTATGGCTGCAAGACTAGAAACCAGGACTTGGGGGAGTAGGGAGGCATGCTTGGGAAAAGGAGGGATGCAAAGAGAAGGGGTTTTGTGAACATGGTGCAAGGCCAGGAATTTTGGGAGCAAAAACCAAGTATCCTTGTGGTTCAAGCCTGTTTTCTTCCATTTTTAGGACTCGTGCCTTCTGCTGTTCTCATTGTGGCCAAGAAATGTCCCAGCTGAGGGCCTTTGTCCCATCGTCCCTCTGTGACCCCTTCATCTTTGATAAGCACTGACATCTCCTTCCTAATAAATAGACCCTGAGTTCTGTACGTGCCTGACTCCTTCCTGAATGGCTGGGAGGGAAAAAACCAAGGCAGAGGAAGAGGCTAAAAGGGAACACATTTGCAGCAGACCCTCTTCCTCATCTTTAGTTTCCAACAAAGACACTTGTTTCTAATCTCTGGGTCTGATTAACTGCTGGGGAAGTTGAGGAGGAGAGGTGCTAAAAGGAGTGGAGAGTACAATGGATGGCACCTTTTACTCCTATGGTAAGACGGAACATAAAAGCCCAACTGCTGCTGCTTTTTTATTTATTTATTTATTGAGAACACAAGAGTGCCTTTTTTTTGAGACAGAATCTTGCTCTGTGGGCCAGGCTGGAGTCAGTGGCGCCATCTCGGCTCACTGCAAGCTCCGCCTCCCAGGTTCACGCCATTCTCCTGCCTTAGCCTTCCGAGTAGGTGGGACTACAGGTGCCCACCACCACACCCAGCTAATTTTTTGTATTTTTAGTAGAGATGGGGTTTCACCATGTTAGCCAGGATGGTCTCGATCTCCTGACCTTGTGATCTGCCCGCCTCAGCCTCCCAAAGTGCTGGGATTACAGGCATGAGCCACCGCGCCCAGCCAGAAGAGTGCCTTTTCATTTTAAAAATGTTTGGAAATGGGTACAACTTTGATACAGCTTCGGGGTGCTCCAGACACCCATGGCCACTTCATGTAAACCACTGAGAATTTGAGAATTTTTTTTTTTTTGAAATGGAGTCCTGCTCAGTCACCCAGGCTGGAGTGCAGTGGTACGGTATCAAACCACTTCCTGAGTTCAAGGGATTCTCCTGCCTCAGCCTCCCAAGTATCTGGGATTATAGGTACGCACCACCATGCCCAGCTAATTTTTTGTATTTTTAGTAGAGACGGGGTTTCACCATGATGGCCAAACTGGTTTCAAACTCCTGACCTCAGGTGATCTACCCGCCTCGGCCTCCCAAAGTGCTAGGATTATAGGTGTGAGCCGCCGTGCCCAGCCACCACTGACAATTTCTAGAGCACTTTGAGAGACAATACAATATGATGATCAAATTTTGTAATTAAATCTAATGAGGGCAACACACTTCTCAAATACGAGATGTGTCGACTGGGGGCTCCCCTACTCTAAGGTATTCACAAGGAGGCAGATAAACAGTTTTTTTTTGAGATGGAGTTTCGCTCTGTTGCCCAGGCTGGAGTGCAATGGAACGATCTCGGCTCACTGCAACCTCTGCCTCCCGGGTTCAAGCGATTCTCCTGCCTTAGCCTCTTGAGTAGCTGGGATTACAGGCATGCACCTCCATACCCGTTTTTTTTTTTTTTTTTTTTAAGTAGAGACAGGGTTTCACCTTGTTGGTCAGGTTGGTCTTGAACTCCTGACCTCAAGTGATCCGCCCACCTCTGCCTCCCAAAATGCTGGGATTAGTCGTGAGCCACTGTGCCTGGCCAGATAAACAGTTTCTTTATTCATCCTCCTCCTCCTCTTCATCTTCCTCTTCCACCTTTTTCCAGGCAACTTTAGCAGGACCCTTTGCACCATCAAACCTTCCTTTCGACTTATGGTCAGCAACATCCTTCTTACATTTTTCCTTCAGCTTTGCTACCTTAGTGATGTCATTTAAGTTATTTCACATCTCACCCAGAAAACCTAGCTTCTTAATAGAATAGGGATAATAGTGCCTGTTTCTTGGGATTGTCATGAGGGTTACATAATGCTGGTGTAAGATGCTTTAGCATAGTGCCTAGTACCTAATAAATCCCCAGTAAGCATTAGCTACTAAAAGGATAATTTTACTTACTTATTTGAGGTGGAGTCTCACTCTAGCTCCCAGGCTGTAGTGCAGTGGTGTGATCTCGGCTCACTGTAACCAACGTCTGCCGGATTCAAGCGATTCAGCCTCAGCCTCTTTTTTTTTTTTTTTTTTTTTTTTTTGAGACGGAGTCTTGCTCTGTCACCCAGGCTGGAGTGCAGTGGCCGGATCTCAGCTCACTGCAAGGTCCGCCTCCCGGGTTTACGCCGTTCTCCTGCCTCAGCCTCCTGAGTAGCTGGGACTACAGGCGCCCGCCACCTCGCCCGGCTAGTTTTTTTGTATTTTTTAGTAGAGACGGGGTTTCACCGTGTTAGCTGGGATCGTCTCTCCATCTCCTGGCCTCGTGATCCGCCCGTCTCGGCCTCCCAAAGTGCTGGGATTACAGGCTTGAGCCACCGCGCCCGGCCCTCAGCCTCTTTAGTAGCTGGGTTTGCAAGTGTGCGCCACCACACCTGGCTAATTTTTTATATTTTTAGTAGAGATGGGGTTTCACCATGTTGGCCAGGCTGGTCTCAAACTCGTGACCTCAAGATCTGCCTGTCTCAGCCTCCCAAAATCCTGGGCTAAAAGGGTAATTTTTTTCTTTTTTGAGACAACGTCTTGCTCTGTCACCCAGGCTGGAGTGCAGTGGCATGATCTCGGCCCACAGTAACCTCTGCCTCCTGAGTTCAAGCGATTCTGCCTCAGCCTCCTGAGTAGCTGGGACTACAGGCATGCGCCACCATGCCCAACTAATTTTTGTATTTTTAGTAGATACAGGGTCTCACATGTTGGCGCTTCTCTCTGCTTTTTAAAACCAAGAAGCACTGATGAGCTTCTCTGATAGCCCCTCCAGCTGCTGATCACCCCACCCTGGTGTCCTGTCAAACTGCTCCTGACTCCTCCTCTCCTTCCTGGGCTAGGGGAGAGGACACAGTTACTCTGTAAAGATCTGAAAAGAGCACCAACGCTCATATCTGGGTTTATACCCCAGTGTTAGAAAGATTTATTTGGGGCCAGGCACGGTGGGTCATACTTGTAATCCCAGCACTTCGGGAGGTCGAGGCGGGCAGATCACCTGAGGTCAGGAGTTTGAGACCAGCCTGGCCAACACGGCAAAACCCTGTCTCTACTAAAAATACAAAGATTATCCTGGCCTAGTGGCGCACCCCTGTAGTCCCAGCTACTTGGGAGGCTGAGGCAGGAGAATCGCTTGAACCTGGGAGGCGGAGGTTGCAGTGAGTTGAGATAGCTCCATTGCACTCCAGCCTGGGCAACAACAGAGAAACTCTGTCTCAAAAGAAAAAGAAAAAGAAAGAAAAGCTTTATTTGGTGTTCTGACTTTAATAACAGCAGCCTTTTTTTCCATTGCAATCTTGCTTGGGAACCAGAGGATAGACAAAAGAAGAGCAACTTGGTTGGCTAGGCTGTGGGGCTTTGACCCCACTTATTTCATCCTCTCAGTGGCAACTCCAATAAATCCTGACCGGATTCAGAGATTGGAGACCACTTTACATTTCTAAATTAATTTTTTACACTAATCCTCATAGTTATGACCTTTCAGAGAACAGGACTGAGGTTTGTAACATGCTGGAGTTGAACTAAGATCTGTGACTCAAAGCACACTCCTTTTACTTCTAGTAAGTCAGCCTCCTAAGCTTGTTTAACCAGAGGTTAAATAACGGGCACAGAAAGCACTGTGGCATATGTTAAGTGCTAGATGTTCCTCCAATCTCGCTCCAAGGACAGGAGTCCTGAGTGTCCTCTGTAGGCATCCATTACTTCAAGATTTTCCAGGATAGTTCAGATTTCAGGAATGTCCCACGGTTATCCCGGGAAGTACACTCCAACCTGACACCACATGACCTGTTTTGAAAATGTGGTTGGCAGGGTGCAGTGGCTCAGGCCTGTAATCCCAGCACTTTGGGAGGCCAAGGCGGGTGAATCACCTGAGGTCAGGAGTTCGAGACCAGCCTGGCCACATGGTGAAACCCGCCTCTACTAAAACTACAAATATCAGCCAGGCGTGGTCGCGGACGCTTGTAATCCCAGCTACCTGGAAGGCTAAGTAAGAACAGCTTGAACCCAGGAGGCGGAGGTTGCAGTGAGCCAAGATTGCGCCACTGCACTCCTGCCTGGGCAACAAGAGCAAGGCTCCATCTCAAAAAAGAAATAGAAACTGTGGCCGCAGCAGGGTGAGGTGGTTCACGCCTGTAATCCCAGCACTTTGGGAGTTCGAGGCGGGTGGATCACCTGGGTCTGGAGTTCGAGACCAGGCTGGCCAACATGGTCAAACCCTGTCTCTAATAAAAACACAAAAATTAGCTGGGCGTGGTGGTGCGCGCCTGTGATCCCGGCTACTCGGGAAGCTGAGGCAGGAGAATCGCTTGAACCCGGGAGGCAGAGGTTGCAGTGCGCCGAGATCGTGCCACCGCACTCCAGCCTGAGTGGCAGAGAGCGACTCCGTCTCAAAAAAAAAAAAAAAAGGAAAGAAAAAAAAGAGAATGTGGTCGAGATACCTATTGAGATCAGCTTCTTCTGGTGGGATGGGAGAGGTAGCAGGTGCAGGCCATGCCCCCAAGCACCGACCACAGGTCTCTAAGCATTGGTAGGTGTCGACTGCAGGGCTCATTCTGGGTGGAGGAACATGATTTATTGATTCTTTCAGTTAACCACATCCGACTCGCGTCTCGGCCCTGGCCCGCTTTGCGGACTTTAAAGCAATCAGTCCAGGGTTTGGGGGGAACGTGCTCACCCGACGGCAGCTCACAGGACCCTGGAGAGGCCTGGGCATGGCATCTCGGCCGGACTCCCCGCTGGGCCCACGAAGGAGAAAGCCTGCATCGGATTCCTGCGCCCGAGCCAAGGTCCCAGCGCCCACAGGGTCAAGTCCGGTCTCACGGTGACCTCCCGCCGGCGCCGCCTTCGCTAACCATCCAGTTCTTCCTCCAGGCCACGTTCTCCTGTGTGGTCGCTGCCTCCTGCAGAGTGGCCACCAATAGCTGCTGGGTCTTGGCCATCTCCTCCCTGCTCCGCGGGTCCTGCAGTGGCATCTCCTGAGGGCAGGAAGGGGAGTTCGCAGGAGCTCCAGTCCGGGGCTCTCCACCCGCCCACCCATCCTCGGGATGACCAGTTGCTTCTACCTTTAGCATTTCCTGCTTCCGCTGCTCTCCGGGGGTCACGATAGCAAGGAGCGCGAAGCCCACGCCAGCCCCTGCGCCCAGCACTGCGACTGTGATCAGCATTTTCCGCAAGGACTCCATGGCCGCCTGCACAACCAGCAGGGCGCCCACCGGAGTTCACCGCAGCCGCGAGCCGTACCCGCGCGGTCTCACTGCCCCTTCGCGCAGGCTAGAGCGCCCTATAGCAGAAACCATAGATAAACGGCCGGCTAGAGAGGACCCGCTCAAGGAAACGTTTAGAATCTGGAGCGCCGGGATCTCAGGTTTAGCTGAGGGGGTTGAGGGTGTCCAAGAAGTGCTGGCGCCAAGGGCTGAGCGTGGGCACCCTGTGTCCTCAGTTCCGGGGTGGGATTGCTAGGGGAGAGTGCGTGTCTTCATGGTTGCCGTGGGTTTTATGATTGCCCATTTTTCTGTCTTCCAACGTTTCCCGATCAGTAGGGGCCCGAGCTGTGCTCTGTGGTTTCCTGCAGTCACCCGCGCGTTTTCAACACAGCGAAGGGAGGTCATACACATACATATCCCTCTCCATCCCCTCAACTCTGGAACAAACACTGAAAGTCAAGTGTACTGGTTGGAGAAATGGGTAATAGTAACTTATCTTTAACATTTATTTTACAAACAACCTGTTCCTTTTCTCGTTATGGTACACACTTGGTATTGTCTAGGGATTTTTTGGTTTTGTTGTTAGTGTGTGGGCGTGGTTTTGTTTGTTTTTGGAGACAAGGTCTCGCTCTGTCGCCCAGGGTTGGAGTGCAGTGGCGATCATGGTTCACTGAAGCCTCGACTTCCAGGGCCCAAGGGATCCTCCTGCCTCAACTTCCCGAATAGCTGGGATTACAGGCGTGCACCACCACGCCCGGCTGGTATTGCTTTTTGTTTTGCTTTGTTTTCTTCTTTTTCTTTTTTTTTTGAGACGGAGTCTCACTCTGTCACCCAGGCTGGAGTACTGGGGCAGGATCTTGGCTCACTGCAAGCTCCGCCTCCCGGTTTCACGGCATTCTTGCCTCAGCCTCCCGAGTAGCTGGGACTACAGGCGCCCGCCACCACGGTCGGCTAATTTTTGGTAATGTTAGTAGAGACGGGGGTCTCACCATGTTGGTCAGGCTGGTCTCGAGCTCCTGACCTCGTGATCCGCCTACCTCGGCCTCCCAAAGTGCTGGGATTACAGGTGTGAGCCACCGTGCCTGGCTGTTTTGTTTTCAACTAAAAGGCTGGATTCGTTTAACATACTGAATTCTGCTTTACAGAAGAAAACGCCTTTTAGCTGTGTGACTGATTACAGGCAAGTTCTTGTGCCCCGGTTTCTGCATCAGAAAATGAGCTTATAACAGTACTTGTCTCACAGTTTTAGGAGAATTAAATGAGTTATATGTAAAGCAAAACAGCTCCTGACAAAGAGTAAACACCATATAAATATTCATTAAATAACATACAAACATGCCAGGTTGGGAAAATCAGTAAGCAAAGGAGTCAGGAAATTCCAAGTTGGTTATCACAACTCTTGGCCCACAGGGCTTTTTTTTTTTTTTTTTTTTTTTTGAGACGGAGTCTCGCTGTCGCCCAGGCTGGAGTGCAGTGGCCGGATCTCAGCTCACTGCAAGCTCCGCCTCCCGGGTTTACGCCATTCTCCTGCCTCAGCCTCCCGAGTAGCTGGGACTACAGGCGCCCGCCACCTCGCCCGGCTAGTTTTTTGTATTTTTTAGTAGAGACGGGGTTTCACCGGGTTAGCCAGGATGGTCTCGATCTCCTGACCTCGTGATCCGCCCGTCTCGGCCTCCCAAAGTGCTGGGATTACAGGCTTGAGCCACCGCGCCCGGCCAACCCACAGGGCTTTAATCCAGGTGCCCTTGTCTCCTACCCTTGCTGCCATCCCAGTGTCTCCAGGGAGTAAGTAGAAATAAAGATCCGATCTCACGTCTTGGGCATTTTCCCCTCCCCTGAAAGCCCATAATCACTTAGCACAGTCAGAGCTTAAGGCGCCAGGCTCCAAAGAAGATTAAAGGAACAGTTTGTGGGCAGGAATACCCTCCTCTGAGTTCAATCATCTTGCACTCTAAGAATCACCACCATGGCCCTTGTGCCAGGGAGAAGCAAGGAGGATGGGCTTTGGACTACAAATAGCCCAGGCTCCTCCCAGCATCCAGAGTCCCAGGCTGCCCAACCCTCTCTGGGACAGAGGAAAAGTTGGCAAGGTTGAAGGTCACTGGCATATTCAGGTTATACTTCCCCACCCTGTGTCTGGCAGCTGGCTTACCCTCCAATCTGGCCCAACCTCCTTGCTGTCCCTATTCAGGATTTCTCTCAAAAGTCCCATCTGCTGTCTATTGTGGTGGAAGCCTCTGAGGTGAATGAAGAGAGTGGGGATCTCCATTGGCCCCATGAGGAGCTGCTGCTGCTCACTGATGGTGAGGAAGAGGATGCTGAGGCCTTCCTCCAAGACCAAAGTGAAGAGCCAGGTGAGGCAGGTGGCTCATTCAGGGGGCCACTGTGATCTGAATGTTCTGGGCAGAGCCAAGATGGAAGTCAGTTATCACCCCTGCATTCCGCAGTGCCAGGCACACCGCAGGTGCTCAATAAATGTGAAGATGTGGGAGAGAAAAGTCAAGGCAGTTGGCAAAGTTGAATTATAGAGAGCAGTTCTGGTATCAGAATGGGTGCCATCCTTTAATCTGTACTTTCTTTTTTTTTTTTTTTTTGAGACAGAGTCTCCTTCTGTTGCCCAGGCTGGAGTGCAGTAGCGCCACCTTGGTTCACTGCAAGCTCCGCCTCCCGGGTTCACGCCATTCTCCTGCCTCAGCCTCCCGAGTAGCTGGGACTATAGGCACCCGCCACCTCGCCCTGCTAATTTTTGTATTTTTAGTAGAGATGGGGTTTCACTGTGTTAGCCAGGATGGTCTTGATCTCCTGACCTCGTGATCCGCCCACATTGGTCTCCCAAAGTGCTAGGATTACAGGCGTGAGCCACAGCGCCCAGCCTTAATCTGTACTTTCTTTTTTTTTTTTTTTTTTGAGACGGAGTCTCGCTGTGTCGCCCAGGCTGGAGTGCAGTGGCCGGATCTCAGCTCACTGCAAGCTCTGCCTCCCGGGTTTTTTTTACGCCATTCTCCTGCCTCAGCCTCCCGAGTAGCCGGGACTACAGGCGCCCGCCACCTCGCCCGGCTAGTTTTTTGTATTTTTTAGTAGAGACGGGGTTTCACCGTGTTAGCCAGGATGGTCTCGAACTCCTGACCTCGTGATCCGCCCGTCTCGGCCTCCCAAAGTGCTGGGATTACAGGCTTGAGCCACCGCGCCTGGCCTGTACTTTCAAAATATTTACATTGCTACGGGAAAAGATAAAATTATCCCAAGACAGGCCGGGCAATTTTTTTTTGTATTTTTACAATTTTTTTGTATTTTTAGTAGAGACAGGGTTTTACCGTGTTAGCCAGGATCGTCTCGATCTCCTCACCTTGTGATCCGCCCGCCTCAGCCTCCCAAAGTGCGGGATTACAGAAATGAGCCACCGTGCCCGGCCACGTCTGTGTACTGTTAAATAAGCTACTTTTTTTTTTTTTTTTTTTTAAAGACAGAGTCATGCTCTGTCACCCAGATTGCAGTGCAGTGGCAGGATCTCGGCTCACTGCAACCTCCGCCTCCCAGGTCCAAGGAATTCTCCTGCCTCAGCCTCCCAAGTAGCTGGGACTACAGGCTCACACCGCCATGCCACGCCTGGCTATTTTTTTTTTTTATTTTAGGAGAAACAGGGTTTCACCATATTGCCCAGGCTGGTCTCAAACTCCTGAGCTCAGGAAATCTGCCTGCCGCTGGGCGCGGTGGCTCAAGCCTGTAATCCCAGCACTTTGGGAGGCCGAGACGGGTGGATCACGAGGTCAGGAGATCGAGACCATCCTGGCTAACACGGTGAAACCCCGTCTCTACTAAAAAAAAATACAAAGAACTAGCTGGGCGAGGTGGCGGGCGCCTGTAGTCCCAGCTACTCGGGAGGCTGAGGCAGGAGAATGGCGTAAACCTGGGAGGTGGAGCTTGCAGTGAGCTGAGATCCAGTCACTGCACTCCAGCCTGGGCGACAGAGCTAGACTCCGTCTCAAAAAAAAAAAAAAAGGAAATCTGCCTGCCTCAGCCTCCCAAGAAGCTACATTTTTTTGAGCATTTACTATGTGCCAGGTACTATGCTAAACACTTTTACTTCATGATTTTCAGAAAAACCCAATGAAGGTACTTCCCCTTTATAAATGAGAAAATTGAGACTGCGAGGTTAGGCTGTTAGTGATAAAATTGCTCTATATTTTCATAAGCAAAGAATACCACATTAATTTTTAGCACGAGTACAGCAGCTTATCACAGCCCATTGCAGCTTCCACCTCCCAGGGCTCAAGCAGTCCTCCCAGCTCAGCCTTCTGAGTAGTTGGAACTACATGCCTGTGCCACTATCCCTGACTAATTTATTTTTGTAGTTAGGGGTGTCACTTGATTGCCAGGGCTCAAACTCTTGGGACTCAAGCAATCTGCCCACCTTGGCCTCCCAAAGTGCTGTGATTATAGGAATGAGCCAGTTTTGTAATTTGATAATGTATCAGTAATATTTTTCTCCCTTCTCCTCCTCCATCCCAGGCTGGGCTTGGAGCCCACAGAACACTTAACGCTGGACTTAGCTGGGGGCAGACCAGGATGATGAAGATGCTTGTTGGATTCTTGAGGACACTAAGTGTCTGGAAGCCACCAACCACTGTCCCTTCTGGGACTCAGCAACAGGCTCCTGTGTTTGTTGAAGTGGCTTTGTGGAATATTCTTGTCTCCTGCCTCCTAATAGCTTTGAGGGTAACCATTGTTCCCTCCCTCTCAAACATCTCATCCAGGTTTATGAAGCTCCTTATACCCATCCTCTCACAATCTACTTTTACAGGTGAGAAAAATGAGGCTTACAGTTTAGGCCACTAGATTATACAAGTCAGTTGGCGCCGGAGTTTGGATTCAGTTCCTGTCTGCTGCTTTTAGGAGCTCCAGTTAGTTGAAACTGGGGAAAGACCCACTTTTACCTTCTCTTTTCAGCATTCATCTTGTGCTAAATACTGCACACATCATTGTATGCAATCTCTGTAACCCCAGATTATTCCCACTCTGCAGATGAGTAAACTGGGGAACAGAAACATTCAGCAATATGGTACCCAGCTAGTAAATGTGGAAGCCAGGACTCACTTTGCAGCCAGATAGCTTGCAAAGACAATAGTTCTTCAGCCCTCTCCTTGCCCACAGAAATACTAGGGTTAGGACTACTAAAATGTCTTTAATGACAGCCTTGAATCAAGTAAGCAAAGTAGGTGATGCCCCTGAAAGGGCCTAGCTCCTGCACAGTCACAGCCCAGCCATGGGACCCTTGTTCCAGGCAGGGCAGTCGCACATCAGGGTCCTCATCCGAGAACTGAATTAGGGTCCCCTGAGGGTTTAGAACCCGCAAGCATTCTGATAGCAGCTGGTAAGCCCTAGGCAGACCTCCCCTGGCAACAGCATCCCAGGTGCCCTTGTCCAGCAGTAGTTGGAAAGAGCCTGAAGAAGCCACAGACCCCAGGTTCTGGGCATCGGCCTGCATGAAGTGGAGGCTGGAGGCAGGGTGCCCAGGGCATAGAGGTGTTCGGCCTTGGCCACCCTCCAGGAGGCTGTTCATGTAGGCCACAGCCACAGGAGAAAAGTCCACCCCTAACACATCCACTGGGTGTGGAGATTTGGTGTAGAGGCCTGTACATAGGCTGGAGGTCCCACAGCCCACATCCAGCACCCGCAGAGGAATGGCAGCCCGTGCCTCCTGCAGCAACGGTAGTAGGAGCCCCTGGACTTCCTCGTATCCAAAGAACCAGTCGAAGGTGGGGACAGTGCCCAAACGGGGCTGGGCATGCAGCCGATCCCAGAGACAGCGGTCCGCCAGGCAGCTACCAGCCAGTGAGTCTGTGGGCACGGTTGGAGGGTGTCACTCGGTCTATCTCGCCACTGCAAAAACGGCGCATATACACACTGGGGTCTTTTTTTTTTTTTAAGACAGGGTCTCACTCTGTAACCCAGGGTGGAGTGCAGTGGCACAATCATGGCTCACTGAAGCCTCCCCTTCCTGGGCTCAGGTGATCCTCCCACGTCAGTCTCCTGAGTAGCTAGTACTCCAGGCGCCATCATGCCCGGTTAATTTTTTTGTAGACGGGGGTCTCGCTATGTTATCCTAGGCTGGTCTCGAACTCCTCGGCCAAGCGATCTGCCCACCTCAGACTGGCAAAGTGTTAGGATATCAGCCGTGAGCCACCGCAGGGTCTGAGAACCACAATTTCAGGGACTACACTCCTGAGTCACGAGGAACCCACCCTGCCCTCCCTACTCTGCCCCCACCTCCCTACCCGGAAAGGGGCGGCACGTCCCCATCATCAGGCTCGGCAAGTGGAGCATTCGACGCAGCGCAGCCATCTGGAGCTTCGTTAAGTTCGATCAGAGAACCTTGTGTGAAGCGTCCACCCTACTCCATCCAGAGGCCCGAGGTCCAGGGGAAGATCTGCAAATTCCGCGTAGCGAAAGGCAGCATACAGCTTCCCCAAATTCTGCAGTCTCGGGAAAAAGAACGCGGACACAGACTGACTATGGTAGGAACGGCCTTTATTGGCTGCAGCGGTAAGTGGAAGAGGGGATACAGCGTCCGCAGACCTGAAATCAAATGAGAACATGTGAGCAACCCCATGGAGGAGCCAGCTGGATCTCGGTTGTGCCGGTCCGAGATTCCCGGTGTCCCGGCGCTTGAGGATAGAACCAGCGGATGGGAAGCCGCCGGCACCGAAGACAGGACGCCGAGGGGGCCAGAGCCCTTTCCCTCTTCCTCCGCACATTACGGGGAGCGGTACCACAAGCCCGATCCCCGCCAAGAAAAGGAGGATCCTGAGGCCTAGCTCAGAGCCTTCCGCCCGACACCCATGCCACTCCCGGCCGCCCAATCCTGCTACTACACAGAAACCTCACCTACTCGCTCACCTCCCTCCGAAAGGTCTTGCGCACTGCGGAGCTCCTTTATATAGGCCAAGGACCCGCCCCCGAATTGCGATTGGCCCGCGGAAGGCCGGGGCGGAGCCACGCGGATCCCGCGCTGAGCGGAAGTACGGACAGTGAACTGGCGTGGCATCGCAGCTATGGGAGCTCCCGGGGGAAAGATCAACCGGCCCCGAACGGTGACTCTGGGGGGGCCGCGACTTTGTTTCCTGAAGTGTCCCCGAGCCCGTTTATCTCGCACAAGATGGGATCAATGGGTGGCCGGGGTTGCCTCGTGGAGCGGCCCGGGGTCGCGGTGAGCCCACTCCATCTGATTCGCATCTTTCTCCCCAGTAGGAGCTGAAGAAGAAGCTGTTCAAACGCCGGCGGGTGCTGAATCGGGAGCGGCGTCTGAGGCACCGGGTGGTCGGGGCTGTGATAGACCAAGGGCTGATCACGCGGCACCACCTCAAAAAGCGGGCGTGAGTACTAGACCCTCTTCCTGTTGGTTGTCCCCACCGAGTCTTCCCTCCTCCCTGCAGAGCTCCGGAGCAGCTTCACCTCTCAGCTCACCTCCTTGTGCACTGACGCTTATGCGGGGAATGTCTGTCTGTTAGTTCCTAAGCTCTGCTAGCCTCTCACAATACCTGTAGCAGACAACCTTTCTTTGGGTTTTGGATTCTGTTAAGAATCTCAGGAAAGCCGGGGGCGGTGGCTCACGCCTGTAATCCCAGCACTTTGGGAGGCTGACGCGGGCGGATCACTAGAGATCGGGAGACCAGCCTGATCAACATGGTGAAACCCCATCTCTGCTAGAAATACAAAAATTAGCCGTGCATGGTGGCCGGCACCTGTAGTCCCAGCTACACGGGAGGCTGAGGCAGGAGAATTGCTTGAACCTGGGAGGCGGAGGTTGCAGTGAGCTGAGATCACACTACTGCACTCCAGCCTGGGCGACACAGCGAGACTACGTCTCAAAAAAAAAAAAAAAAAAACCACAAACGAATCTCAGGAAATCTGTTGACTCTCCAAGTAATATTGTACATTCACATAGATTTTTATAAGTAAACTTATTTTTACATACAGAAAAGTGCGCACATAGGCGTGTAAAACTCGGTGAGTTTTCCCAAAGGTACTCATAGGATTTCACTTGTAAGTTTCAAGGCCTCCTGTGTTTTGAGGAAGAGTTCCCATCCGATTAATTACTTTCTTTTTTTTTTTTTTTTTTTTGAGACGGAGTCTCGCTCTGTCGCCCAGGCTGGAGTGCGGTGGCACAATTTCCACTCACTGCAAGCTCTGCCTCCCGGGTTCACGCCATTCTCCTGCCTCAGCCTCCCGAGTAACTGGGACTACAGGCGCCCGCCACTGCGCCCGGCTAATTTTTGTATTTTTAGTAGAGACGGGGCTTCACCGTGTTAGCCAGGATGGTCTCGATCTCCTGACCTCGTAATCCACCCATCTCGGCCTCCCAAAGTGCTGGGATTACAGGCGTGAGCCACCGCGCCCGGCCCCCATTAATTACTTTCTATGTCCTTTCTTTTTTAATTTTTTTCTCTTTTTTAAGACGGAGTTTCCCTCTGTTGCCCAGGCTGGAGTGAAGTGGCGTGATCTTGGCTCACTGCAACCTCCGCCTCCCGGGTTCAAGCAATTCTCCTGCCCCAGCCTCCGGAGTAGCTGGGGTTACAGGCGCTCGCCACTGCACCCGGCTGATTTTTGTTTTTTGTTTTTTGTTTTTTGAGACGGAGTCTCGCTCTGTCGCCCAGGCTGGAGTGCAGTGGTGCGATCTCTCACTGCAAGCTCCACCTCCTGGGTTCACGCCATTCTCCCACCTCAGCCTCCCTAGTAGCTGGGACTGCAGGCACGCGCCACCACGCCTGGCTAATTTTTTGTATTTTTAGTAGAGACGGGGTTTCATCGTGTTAGCCAGGATGGTCTTGATCTCCTGACCTCGTGATCCACCCGCCTCGGCCTCCCAAAGTGCTGGGATTACAGACGTGAGCCACCGTGCCTGGCCTAATTTTTGTATTTTTAATAGAGACAGGGTTTCACCATGTTGGCCAGGCTGGTCTTGAACTCCTGACCTCAGGTGATCCGCCCACCTCAGCCTCCCAAACTGTTAGGATTACAGGCATGAGCCACTGCCCCTGATCCTTTTTTTAGTTTCTTGTCCTTTTATTAGCTTCTTTAATGTAAATATTTAGGGTTTCTATTACTATTCGTATTATATTTATTTAATACTTTTTCTATAGCCAGAACCATTTGTGTGACCTCGGATGGTTCAGGTTAACCTAGCTATCTTTATTTCCACTTACCCATTAGGTCCAGCGCACGTGCCAACATTACTCTGTCAGGGAAGAAGCGCAGAAAACTCCTCCAGCAGATCCGGCTTGCCCAGAAAGAGAAGGCAGCCATGGAAGGTGAGGCTGGGACAGAGGTGGGTGAGGGGAATCCTGGATTTATTTGGGTTAATACTTCCTTCTTCCCTTTACTCAGTGGAAGCCCCTTCAAAACCAGCCAGGACTAGTGAACCACGGCTCAAAAGGCAAAAGAAGACAAAAGCTCCCCAGGATGTAGAAATGAAGGACCTTGAAGATGAGAGCTAAACCTCTTCCAGTAGAAGATTCTCAACTGGAGCCAGCCTTCAGACTCAGTGGTTGTTTTAGAGGACGTTGACAAAAGCAGTGCCCCTTTTCACTCTCCAGATTTCCTCCTACCTAATGGCCTACTGACCTCCCCTACAGGGATGTCTTTGGGAGGGAAGAAGGTACAGAAGAAAGATTGGAGAAGGGCCTCTCTAGCAGTCAACTCCATTTGTAATAAAGCCCTAGCACTCTGAGATGTGTGTGATTAAATGTAGGAATGGGGATGGGTCATGAAAAGGTTGCTGAGTATGGAAACAAGACAGTGAGGAAGCAGTACCTACAGAGCTTCCTTGAGCAAATGCAGCAAGATGCCAGCTTCTGCCCTCCAAGAGTGGTGGTGCCTGACCGGGCGCAGTGGCTCACGCCTATAATCTCAGCGCTTTAGGAGGCCAAGGCCAGCGGATCACCTGAGGTCAGGAGTTAGACCAGGCTGGCTAACCCTGTTTCTATTAAAAATACAAAAAATTAGCCAGGCGTGGTGGTGCACACCTGTAATCCCAGCTACTTGGGAGGCTGAGGCAGGAGAATCGCTTGAACCCAGGAGGCGGAGGTTGCCTACAGGAGTATTGCATGAGGCCAGGAACCCAAGGCTGTAGTGTGCTATGATCTCATCTGTCTTCTTAGCAAGTGATATTCTAACTTTCTTTTTTTTTTTTTTTTTTTTTTTTTTTTTGAGACGGAGTCTCGCTCTGTCGCCCAGGCTGGAGTGCAGTGGCGCGATCTCGGCTCACTGCAAGCTCCGCCTCCTGGGTTTACGCCATTCTCCTGCCTCAGCCTCCTGAGTAGCTGGGACTACAGGCGCCCGCCACCGCGCCCGGCTAATTTTTTTTGTATTTTTAGTAGAGACGGGGTTTCACCGTGGTCTCGATCTCCTGACCTTGTGATCCGCCCACCTCGGCCTCCCAAAGTGCTGGGATTACAGGCTTGAGCCACCACGCCCGGCCGATACTCTAACTTTCCATTTGTGACAAAGATACAGATTATTTGAGAAGCTGAAGTTACAGTAAGCCACCATTGTGCAACTGTACTCCAGCCTGGGCAACAGAGTGAGCCATTGTCTCAAACAATATAGATAGATAATTGTTTTTTTTTTTTTTTTTTTTTTTGAGAGGGAGTCTCGCTCTGCCGCCCAGGCTGGAGTGCAGTGGCCGGATCTCAGCTCACTGCAAGCTCCGCCTCCCGGGTTCCCGCCATTCTCCTGCCTCAGCCTCCCGAGTAGCTGGGACTACAGGCGCCCGCCACCGCGCCTGGCTAGTTTTTTGTATTTTTTTTAGTAGAGACGGGGTTTCACCGTGTTAGCCAGGATGGTCTCGATCTCCTGACCTCGTGATCCGCCCGTCTCGGCCTCCCAAAGTGCTGGGATTACAGGCTTGAGCCACCGCGCCCGGCTAGATAGATAATTGTAGGGATGGTAGAGGTAAAGTTCCTGATACCAGTTCTGCCACTGCCTCTGTGTGACTAAGGTATGCAAGAAAGCTTACCCCTTCTGTCTTGCTTCTTTTGCTGCATTATGTTTTCATTTTAATGATTTATATATATATATATATTTTGCTTTTGGAGACAGAGTCTCATACTATAGCCCGGGATGGAGTACAATGGCATAATCCTGGCTCACTGCAACCTCCGCCTCCCGGGTTCAAGCAATTCTCCTGCCTCAGCCTCCCTAGTAACTGGGATTACAAGCGCCCGCCACCAGGCCTGGCTTATTTTTTGTATTTTTTAGTAGAGATGGGGTTTCACTGTGTTGGCCAGTCTGGTCTTGAACTCCTGACCCTGTGATCTTCCCACCTTGGCCTCCCAAAGTGCTGGGATTACAGGCGTGAACCACTGCACATGGCCTTTGTTTTTTATATGTATATGTTTTATATGTATGTATGTATTTATATGTATTTTATTTTTTTGTAAGAGTCAGGGTCTGGGCCGGGCGCGGTGGCTCACGCCTGTAATCCCAGCACTTTGGGAGGCTGAGGCGGGTGGATCATGAGGTCAGGAGATCGAGACCATCCTGGCTAACACGGTGAAACCCTGTCTCTACTAAAAATACAAAAAAATTAGCCAGGCGTGGTGGCGGGTGCCTGTAGTCCCAGCTACTCGGGAGGCTGAGGCAGGAGAATGGCCTGAACCTGGGAGGCGGAGCTTGCAGTGAGCTGAGATTGCGCCACTGCACTCCAGCCTGGGCGACAGAGCGAGATTCTGTCTCAGAAAAAAAAAAAAAAGAAAAAGAAGAAAGAGTCAGGGTCTGTCGCCCAGGCTGGAGTGCAGTGGTATAGTCTCAAATCACTGCAACCTTGATCTCCTGGGCTCAAACAATCCTTACACCTCAGCCTCCTGAGTAGCTGGGACTACAGGGGCACACCACTACCCCTGACTAATTTTTTTTTCTTTTTTTTTTGAGATGAAGTCTCGCTCTGTTACCCAGGCTGGAGTGTAGTGGCGCCATCTCGACTCACTGCAAGCTCTGCCGCCTCCCGGGTTCACACCATTCTCCTGCATCAGCCTCCTGAGTAGCTGGGACTACAGGCGCCCGCCACCACACCCGGCTAATTTTTTGTATTTTTAGTAGAGATGGGGTTTCACCGTGTTAGCCAGGATGGTCTCGATCTCCTGACCTCGTGATCAGCCCACGTTGGCCTCCCAAAGTGCTGGGACTACAGGTGTGAGCCACCGTGCCCGGCCACCCCTGACTTGAGTTTTTAAAATTTTTTGTAGAGACGGAGTTTTTACCCAGGCTGGTCTCAAAGCCCTGGACTCAAGCGATCCACCCACCTTAGCTCCCAAAGTGCTGGGATTACAAGTGGAATTAAAAAAAAATCTCTAGTAAAGAGAAAAGATAAGTAAAATCAGCCCCCATATATGCCCTCTACTTAGATTTACTGGTTATTAACATTATGCTACACTTGTGTATCTACATTTTTCTTGTCTTTATTGAATTAAATCCTTTGAAAGTCAAATATAGACAACATGAAACCTTATTCCTAAGGATATCCTTCTATGTAGCCGCAATACTATAATCACAGCTAAGACATTTAACATTGATTAAATACCTAAAATTTTTTTTTTTTTTTTTTGATATGGAGTCTCACTCTGTCGCCAGGCTGGAGTGCAGAGGTGTGATCTTGGCTCACTGCAACCTCCGCCTCCCAGGTTCAAGCGATTTTCCTGCCTTAGCGTCCCGAGTAGACAGGGTTTCACCATGTCGGCCAGAAAAGTCTCGAACTCTGACCTCAGGTGATCCGCCCGCCTCAGCCTTCCAAAGTGCTGGGATTATAGGCGTGAGCCACCGCACCCAGCCTTTTTTTTTTTTTGAGACAGAGTCTCTGTCACTCAGGCTGGAGTGCAATAGCACAGTCTCAGCTCACTGCAACCTCTGCCTCCTGGATTCAACCTCAGCCTCCCGAGTAGCTGGGACTATAGGTATGTGCCACCACATCTGGCTAATTTTTGTATTTTTAGTAGAAATGGGGTTTCACCATGTTGGCCAGGTCTCAAACTCCTGCCCTTAGGTCCTCTACCCGCCTTGGCCTCCCAAAGTGCTGGGATTACAGATGTGAGTCACTGCACCGGCCATTTTTCTGTATTTTCAGTAGAGGTGGAGTTTTACCATATTGGCCAGGCTGGTCTTGAACTCCTGACCTCAAATGATCCGCTCACCTCGGCTTCCCAAAGTGTTGGGATTACAGGCGTGAGCCACCTAGCCTGGCCCGCCCAGTGGTTTAGTAGCCATGATGGTCTTTACCTGAATTAGTTATTACTGTGTTACAAAATGATGATTTTCCAATACTGTCATTCATTCATTCATATTATTCCTATGACATTCTGAAAAGAAAAGCCCAGGCCATGCATGGTGGCTCATTCCTGTAATCCCAGCACTATGGGCGGCTGAGGCCAGGGGATCACCTGAAGTCAGGAGTTCAAGACCATCCTGTCCAACATGATGAAACCCCGTCTCTACTGAAAATACAAAAAATTAGCCAGGCGTGGTGGCATGCACCTGTAGTCCCAGTTACTCGGGAGGCTGAGGCAGAAGAATCACTTGAACCCGGGAGGGGGAGGTTGCAGTGAGCCGATATGATGCCACTGCACTCCAGCCTGGGTGACAGAGCAAGACTTTTCACAACAAAAAAGAAGAGCCCTAGGCCGGGCGCAGTGGCTCAAGCCTGTAATCCCAGCACTTTGGGAGGCCGAAACGGGCGGATCACGAGGTCAGGAGATCAAGACCATCCTGGCTAACACGGTGAAACCCCGTCTCTACTAAAAAATACAAAAAACTAGCCGGGCGAGGTGGCGGACGCCTGTAGTCCCAGCTACTCGGGAGGCTGAGGCAGGAGAATGGTGTAAACCCGGGAGGCGGAGCTTGCAGTGAGCTGAGATCCGGCCACTGCACTCCAGCCTGGGCGACAGAGCGAGACTCCGTCTCAAAAAAAAAGAAAAAAAAAAAAAAGAAGAGCCCTGCCCCTTTTTTGTTATCACTGTGAATTTACAGATTTTTTCCAATGTTAAAATATATTACAGTTTTTCATGCTGAAATTATGACAAGTTTGGCAAATGATAGCTTCTTCAAGTTGGTCCCTAAGTCCTTGTGACACAACCACAGTGTTTGAGCACTTCATTGCTTTCTGGCGCAATAATATATTCCAGATTCACTTATTACTTTCCCTGCCTAAGAACTTGGAGTCAGCAATTTCACTAGTAAAAAAGTATTATGTCCAGTTGTTTTTCCTTGTGTGAAATTTCACTTAATGTCCAGTGGTTTCTGTTTGTTTTATTTTCCTTTCTATCTTCCTTCCTTCCTTCCTTTTTCTCTCTTTCTTTCTTTCTTTCTTTCTTGAGATGGAGTCTCGCTCTGTTGCCCAGGCTGTAGCGATTCTCCTGCCTCAGCCTCCCAAGTAGCTGGGATTACTAGGATTACAGGTGCATGCCACCACACCCGGTTGATTTCTGTGTTTTTAGTAGAGACGGGGTTTCACCATGTTGGCCAGGCTGGCCTCGAACTCCTGACCTCGGGTAATCCACCCGCCTCAGCCTCCCAAAGTGCTGGTATTACAGGTGTGAGCCACCATGACCAGCCTTGTTTGTTTTCTTGAGACGTGGTTTCTCTCTGTCACCCAGGCTGGAGTGCAATGGCACAATCACTGCTTATTGCAGCCTGGACCTCCTGGGCTCAGGCAATCTCCCACCTCAGCCTCCCAGGTAG